CCTCAGCGCCACATAAGCAGAAAAAAAAAGCCAGAAGTGGTGCTGTGTCTCAAAAGGTAGAGCGCTAGCCTTGAGCTGAAGAGCTGAGGGACAGCGCCCAGGCCCAGAGTTCAGGCCCACAACTGGACCCCCCCCAAAAAAATTACTCCAATTATGCAGATGATATTCTACTTAAGAGATACTACAGATTCCAGTAGGAATCTAGATCCAATAAATACTTTCAGCAAAATAACAGGATACCAAAAAAAAAAGCCTGTTTAAAAAAATGGTAAAATTTTGTCTATCAAGCATGCATATTTGATGTTGTTAACTTCTCAATCTTTGAGGATGTACTTGCTTGGTTCTCTTTTTATCTAAAACCTGGAGTTTTTGAAGGCCCACCTCTAATGTCATCTCTTTCATTGTGTATTGCCTCCAGAATCTTTTAATTCTCATTAAGCATTTATTACCAGGGTTTTTTCTATTTAGCTGAAAACACCCTGTTTTTCCAGTGAGTTTGCAAAAGTTAATCTAAATGTTTCAATATCCATTGCATCGATCATAGAACCCTGCCAATAGTAGATGCTTAATAATCACTTGTTATATAGTATAAGATTATACAATTATAGTATAAAAATAGAAGTAGTCATATAGTTCTGTAGTATGCCTAGAAATACTGTGTCTTGTCTCATGAGCTTTCCATACACCCTTTTACTGTGCTAGGGTTGGAACCAGGGCTCGAACATACTAAGCAAATACTGGGTCACTGAGCCACATCTTTAGCACTGTCATTAGCTTCTGAAAATGTTAAGAAAAAAATCAGTCATGTACACAGTCTGCTTCATATTTTCTATATGATAAATCTCCTAGCAAAACAAAAGCTATAAAATCTCGTTTTACTTTTTATTTATTTATTTTTTAAATCAGTCATGGGTCTTAAACTGGGCCTGGGCATTGTCCCTGAACTCAAGGTGAGTGCTCTACTACTTGAGCCACAGCGCCACTTCCAGTTTTCTGGTGGTTAATTGGAGATAAAAGTCTCATGGACATTGCTGCCAAGGCTGGCTTTGATCCGAGATCCTCAGATCTCAGCCTCCTGAGTAGCTAGGATTAAAGGCATGAGCCATCAGCACCCAGCTTTTTATTTCCTTTTAACAGCTATAAAAATAAGCAGTTGTGAAAAGTGATTTTTATGATTCTTTCAGGTAGGTAAGGATCCCTCAGTTCACATATGGGATACAGAGACTATCAAACCCTTGTCAATATTAAAGGGCTTCCACCAGTATGGTGTCTGTGCTGTTGATTTCTCAGGTAAGGGTGTTTTCTATTCAATAATGATCAAAATGCAGAGGCAATATATACCACTTTAGTCTAAATCAGTGTAACTTAAACTTGTCATTTCTGTGGTGTTCTGTAGAAAAAAAATGAGAGGAAAAGAAAATTAAGAAAGGGTAATTCTGTTGGGATAGATGGGGAAGAGAATGATGGAAAAGGTCATACTGCTCAGGATAATTATATTCATAAATTTAATTGAAACCTCTCTACAAGTCTTAAGAGAATTTTTTAAAAGAACTGAAAAAAATTAAACCCACCATAACAACTGACTTATAAGAACTCAGAACTCAGTGACTATGAAAAGCTAAATGAAACAGGTGAAGGTTATAATGTGCTGTTATTAATCTGTTTTTATAAAAGTCAATTATTGTAGTTGTTTCTACTGTCAAGCAAAAGTAATGAACTGTCCTGCCTCTTATAAATTTTACAACATACAAACACATGCATGCTTGTCAGCATTTATTACAAGGCATTTTGCTTGAATACTTTAATACATTTGTTACTTGTTCCTTGATGATGATAACTAAAATAACCTTCACTAAAAGCAGGCATATTAATGACAGTATAATGTAAAAATACTTGTTTCGTTACTTTATATCCACTGAATTCTTAGATGAATTAATTAATTGAAATAAATCTGGACCAGGCATGGTTGTCCAGCTACTTAGGAGATGAACATAGTAGATGACCCAAGGCCAGCCAAGTTAAAACGTGAGATCTATATATTAAAAAAATACTAAATGCTAAAGGACTAGTGAGTGGCTGAAGTGATAGTATTGTTTTGGCAAGCACAAGGCCGTGAATTCAACCCCCAGTAAAAACTAATTAATTGGTTCTTTTCTTCTTCTTTGTTAATTTTTGTCTTTCCCTCTCACTTTTTTCTGCAAATTTTATTTTTTAATGGACCATAATACTGTTCAAATTTATGAGGTATAGTGTGATGTTTTGATGCCTCTTCATGTTTTGTGATAATTAACTCTGGGTATTTAGTATAGCCATCACCTCACACACTTATTATTTTCTCCCTCCCTTCCCATCCCAAACTGATGGATAAATAAATGAAGTCAGGTGAGGTGGTATCAACACTTAATAGATAATTCAAGAAATCATTCTCATCCATCTTTTGTAAATTCTATGTCCCTTCATAGCTGTGTGGATGCCTAACATTCATTATTTTTCAAGTTTTAATTATACTACTGGGGCCTATTGAACCATTTTTTGTTACTGTAATATAATACCTGAGGCTGGGTATATTTTTTTGCCAGTCCTGGGGCTTGAACTCAGAGCCTAGGTGCTATCCCTGAGCCTCTTGGTGCTCTACCACCTGAACCACAAGCGCCACTTCCAGAGGCTAGGTATTTTTAATAGAGAGATTTATTTAGCTCAGAGCTGTACAGTATGACTGGAAATTCAAGTCAGGTGATCCCTTTGATGCTGCCTAAAATGAGAGTCACTTTGACTGTATCACAACATATTTGAATAACATGCATGAGAGAGACATTACAGGATGATACAGGAGGCCAGAAAGAGGCTTTTATAACAACTCATGATGATGAAACTGACTAACATGTTAAGGGCCCTCAAGGATACCTAATCAGCTCACACTAGGCCTCCCCTGTTAGTGGTTCTACCCTCTTAACTCTAGTACATTGAGGACCCAGCCTCCAGCATATGAAACCTAGGAGGAAAACTACATTCGAATGAAAGCATATAGCTTTAAGAAACATAGGAAATGCTTTTTTAAATCTTCCAAATGTTAATGATCAATAAGCATATCTTTCTGATTAATTATCACAGCGGATGGGAAACGTTTGGCTTCAGTTGGAATAGATGATAGCCACACTATTGTGCTGTGGGACTGGAAGAAAGGAGAGAAACTATCAATAGCAAGGTAGGGGAAAAAGGAAGATATGAAAACACATTGGCAATACCAACGCTAGTAATACTTTTGCTTTGAGTTTTTTAAAAACAATTTTGAAGTTAAGCTAATGTATAACCTTTTCTTATTGCCATCTTTATCATATTTGAACAAATGTAATCATGATAAAAAGACAAGTGATTTTATGGTTTTTTTGGTAAGTTTATCCCAAGTGAACTCACTTGCTAAAGTAATTAGAACATGGTGTTCTATTAACTGTTCTCTCAAGTCTCCATGTACAGCTGGAGGGAATTTCAGAGGAAAGACTGTTGTACAGTAATTTCAGAGCATGATAAAATGCTCATATATTTAAATGAAAAAGATTCATATATCACAAGGAATTTCTACATTTTTCTTTTTTTATTTGACCTCATGATTTTATTGTCTTCATAACAAAAGTTGGAATTTAGACATCATGATTTTATTGTCTTCATAACAAAAGTTGGAGTTTAGAAATGGATCACTTGCCCCTTTCTCTTTTTATCTCTACCCAGTTCAAAATGTTTGCATCTCTTAATAGTTAGCATTAACTTAGATCTGCAGTTGGGCACAACACATCCAAGTCTCAGCACAATCTTCCTTGTAGTCTTGGCTTTTTTTCCCAGTCTGACCACCATTAGCCACTCTGCTTCCAGTCATAAGGATGCTTTCCCTGGGCATACAGAGAATCCTTTCCCTTCTTGTACTGTGTTACTTTGTGAGGTTGGTGCTTGCCACACTTCTTACAGAAAGTACTGTGGGTTTTAGGAACATTAACCATGATAGCGGGAAGCCTGCAGCAGCGCCAAAAGAAAGACACATTTTTATTATACACTTTTCTTTGTACATTTTCTAAAAATGGGCATGTATTATTTTTATAATAAATATACAAATATGTTGTGAAGGAAGAAACAGTCACCAAATCAGAGCTACACTTTTAATTTCCTGTTCCTTACTCTGAGCATCAGAGCACTAAGCATATGCTTTCTGCATAGTGTATAGATAATAAACCTTCACTGTATTGTAGTCTTCCATACTTCACTACAGCTTAATATCGTCTTTCAAACTTTGAAGTTACAGTTTTTCATGCTGCCAACACCATTCTCATGCATTGTACTACTGAGTAGCACAAGTGATAGCCAAATGAAATTCAGCTTTCACTGTTCCTGCCTTTTGAGAATCTGTGTAGCAGATTTAGCATATTTTTTCCCAAAGAACAAGTATATGGATATATGATTTTACAACCTAATATTCAGTAAACTATATTTATGGAGGGCCAGGTCTGGAGATACTCAGCTGTAACTATCGCTTCACGTGGGTACAGACAGGAGAATTGCAGTTCAAAGCAAGCCAGGGAAAAGTTAATGAAATTCTATCTCAAGAAATAAGCCAAGTATGGGGACCCACCTCTGTGGTCTCAGCTACTTGGGAGGTAGAAATAGGATTGTGGTTCAAGGCTAGCCCAAGTAAGTTAGCAAAAGACCCTGTCTAAAAAAAAAAAAAAAAAAACAACAACAACAACTAAAAACCAAGTGCCGTGGCTCAAACCTGTAATCCTAGACAGAAACAAAGGATTGCAATTGGAAATTAGCCTGGGTAAATTTCATGATATTCCCTCATCTTGACCAATAAAAAATCTTGGCAGGGGACATGTACCTATCATCCTAACCCTAGGAAGCAGATATAAGAGAATCTCAGTCTAGGCCATCCTGAGCATAGTACTAGACCCTATTTGAAAGTAAAAACACAAGGGGCAAGGGGGTCTCAAGTGGTAGAAAACCTGGCAGAGACCCTGAGATCAAACCCCAGTAATCCTAGTACTGAAAAACAAAACTAAAAAAAAAAAAGCAAAGGCTTGAGGTCATGGAGTAATAAAGCACTTGCCTAATGAGTGTTAAGATCTGAGGTTTGTTTGTTTTTTAAAGGAAGGAAAGGAAAACATGCTGCATGAACTTTTTGCCTAAAAGTTGCTGGGTGATTTATCTTTAGATCTAAAACACTTTTGTATTTATTTCAGAGGAAGTAAAGATAAAATTTTTGTTGTAAAGATGAACCCCCATGTGCCTGATAAACTAATTACAGTTGGAATTAAACACATGAAATTTTGGCGTAGAGCAGGTAAGGAAAGGTTTCTTTCTACTCCTTTAATTTTTAAGAAATTGTTACTTTCAGAAGTAATTTAATCTAGGTGCCAGTAACTCAGATCTCTAGACCTAGATACACAAGAGACTGAGATATAAAGATCAAAGTTCAGAGCCAGCTGGGGCAGAATTAGAAAATCTTATCTCCAGTTAACCAGCAAAAAAACAGAACTGGAGGCATGGCTCAAGTAGTAGAATGCCAGCTGTGAGTGAAAAGACCAAGGAGGAGTTAGAAGCCGAGTTTAAGCCCATACTGACACACGTACACTACAAAAAAAAAATTAGCTAGCAGTGATGTGATGTCCTGGGCCAGAAAAGAGACATTAGAAAAACTGGTAATTGACAGTGGCAGTACTCATTTGTCATCTCACCATTTAGGAGGCAAGTTCCAGACCAGCCCTGGCAAAGTTAGCAAGACCCTAATTCCAAAACAAAATATAATCCAAAGGGCCAGAAGAGGTGGTTCATGAGGTGGAACATTTGCCTAGCCACAGTCCTGCGTTCAATTCCCAGTACTCAAAAAAAAAGAGAAAAAAAACTGGTGAAGTCCAAATGAAGTCTGGAGGCTAATTTATATTAATGTTATTTTGGGCTATTTGTTTTTTGTTTGCTTGTGTGTCGGGGCGGGGTGGGTATAGCTCAGGGTCTGGGCACTGACTCTAAGCTTCTTTTGCTCAAGATTAGCACTATATCATTTGAGCCACAATGCCACTTCGGCTTTTTATGTTTATGTAGTACTGAAGAATCAAACCCAGGATCTTTATGCATACTAGGCAAGCATTCTACCACTAAGCCACATTCCCAGTCCTAATATCTTAGTTTTGACAGATATTATGGTAATATAAAATATTAACACTGGAAAAACTGGATAGAGAAGTGTATCAGAAAAAATGTTACTTTTTGCATCTTTTCTAGAAATCTAAAATTATCTAAAATTTATTTAGAGGGGAGGGCAAGGCTATAACTTCATGATAGAGTACATATCTACTATGCCCAAAGACCATGATATAATCCCCAAAGAGAAAAAAAATCTCTAGTTTAAAAAAAGGCTATTTTGTCTGGGAATGTGGTTTAGTGGTGGAGTGTTTGCCTGTCATGCATGAAGCCCTGGGTATGACTCCTCAGTAACACATAAACAGAAAAGGCCAGAAGTGGTGTTGTGATTCAAGTAGTAGAGTGCTAGCTTTGAGCAAAAGAAGCTCCAAGAAAACGCCCAGGCCCTGAGTTCAAGCCCCAGGACTGGGAAAAAAAAGTTATTTTTTAAATGATTTTCTAATATTTTAATGCATTTTAAACAAGAATATATTTCTTTGCTATTTGTGTTTGCTAAAAGATTTGACACCGCTGTTTGATCAGTTGTTATCCAGATTCCTTCCTTTTTTTGGATGTGTTTTATAGTCTAAATTGCAACTGAACTATTTTGTTAAAAAATCTATGTATGCTATAAAATAATATAGAAATGAATTATTTCAGTCACTTGTAATTATGTAAATGTTTTAAAGTTATAAAATACTCTTCAAATAGAATGGTATATTCTCTGAGTAATATCACTTTAAAGTCTTAGTGACTTTAAACATGTCATAGTAACAATTTTGGGAAACACCATCAAAGATGCTAAAGACTGATTAAAACAGATTAATGTGCCAGGCAATTGTGGCTTACACCGGTAATCCTAGCTACTCAGGAGGCTGAGGTCTGAGGATTGAAGTTCATAGGCAGCTGGGGCAAGAAAGACTATTTCCCATTAACTACCCAAGAAGCTGAAAGTAGAGCTGAATGTGGTAGAGCACTAGCCTTGAGCAAAAGAAGTCCAGGGACAGCACTGAAACCCTGAGTTCAAGCCCCAGTACCAGCAAACAACAAACAAAAAAACAAAAACTGACTAAGCTGGGCACCAGTGGCTCATGCCTATAATCCTAGCTACTCAAGAGGATGAGGTCTGAGGATCGTAGTTGGAAGCCAGCCCAGTCTGAGAGACTCTTATCTCCAATAAACTACTCAGAAAAAGCTGGAAGTGGTACTGTGGCTAAAGTGATAGAGCACTAGCCTTGAGCACAAGGAGACTCCAGAGACAGCACCCGGGCCCTAAATTCAAGCCCAAGAACCAGCCAAAAACAAAACAAACAAAACCTGACTAATACATGCGTCTTGGTGCATGGCCTGTAATCCACTGTGCAAAATTTATCCAAATAATTGACAGAGGCAACCCCTATTTTTCTTTTTTAATCCTACTCTCACTTGCCTTTCTAATACAGCAATAACAGTAGAAGAGAAACTGTAATTCTTTATGATCGTGTACATTTTGAAAGTGGTACTTTTGAATATTTTTATGAACCAGGGGGAGGATTGATTGGAAGAAAAGGCTACATAGGCACCCTGGGGAAAAGTGAAACAATGATGTGTGCAGTGTATGGATGGACTGAAGAGATGGCTTTTTCTGGAACATCCACAGGAGATGTGTGTATCTGGAGAGATGTCTTTCTGGTAAAAACAGTTAAAGCACATGATGGGCCAGTTTTCAGTATGCATGCATTGGAAAAGGTGAGTAAGCTAGAGAGATTTTTAATTCAACATAATCTGATCATGGTCTGCAAAGCATTTTCAGAAGTGAAGGAATATTGCCTTTCTCCTGGACTACCCAGTTGTAGTTGATGGATGGATCCTCTTGACCTTAGTTTGTTCCTTTTTTCAAACTCCTTAACGAAGTATAAAATAGGTTTGCCAACCAGGATGGCTCACACTTGTAATCTTTGCACTGGGAAGACACGTAAAAGGATTAGGAGCTGAGCCAATCTGAACTACATAGCAATATCTTCTTGCCAGACAAAAACGAATTTTAATAATTGATAAGCCCTGTGTATCAAAAATTATTCTAACTGCTTTACATTATAATTGTCATATCCTGTAAAGTAGGTCTTTATTACCCCTTCTTTTTAAAGGATTATAAAGACTCTAAAAAGATACACGTGACTTGCTGAAAGTGGTAGATCTAACTCATAGTACCAAATTAGAGACTGTTTTGAATATTCTATCCTATAAAATATTTCTTTTTTTTTTTTGTTGGTTGTGGGGCCTAAACTCTGGGCCTGGGCACTGTCCCTGAGCTCTTCAGCTCAAGGTTAGCACTCTACCACTTGAGCCACAGTACAACTTCTAGCTTTTTCTGCTCAGTTGGTGCTGAGGAATTGAACCCACGGCCTCATGCATGCAAGGCAAGCACTCTACCACTGAGCCACCTTCCCAGCTCCTATAAAATATTTCTTATTAATAAATATTTTTGCAGGTTTTGTGTTGATTTTTTAAATGGATTTTTATGCTAGTTCCTGTAACCTTTGACTATAGTCTTCTCCCTAGAGATTGTCATTTTTCATGCATTTAGATTTTTATCAACTGAAGCTTTTATTATCACAGGGTTTTGTAACTGGAGGAAAAGATGGCATAGTAGCTCTTTGGGATGACTCCTTTGAAAGATGTCTCAAGACCTATGCTATAAAAAGAGCTGCTTTGGCCCCAGGATCTAAAGGTAATTTATGATTTATTTTGCTTTGTAAGAAAAGATCTGTTTCATATTATATGCTTGATTATTGGGGTGGAACATATGGAATATATTTTTTCTTCTTTATATGGAGGGTGTTAAGAGTTGAATGGGAGGGGGAGGGAAAATGGGAAAAATGAGGGAGAGGGTGACAAGTTTGACAAGAAATGTACTCACTACCTTACTTATGTAACTGTAACCCGTTCATATATCACCTTAACTCTTTAAAAAAAAGTGAAATAGAAGACACTTGATACTAAAATTATTGCTATACTTCTAAACTGTAATATGCATGATAAAATATTAACCAAGTATAGCATTATTAATCTTAATACTTTTATTTCTGGGTCTGGGGCTTGAGCTTTGGGCCTGGGCGCTGTCCCTGAGCTTTTATGCTCAAGGCTAGCACTCTACCACTTGAACCTTGGGCTACAGTTCGGGGGGGGGGGGGTTGTTTTTGGTTTTGGTTTTGGTTTTGGTTTTTTGTAGTCTAGTGGAGATAAGAGTTTCACAGATTTTCCTACCCCAGCTGGCTTTGGACCGCAACCTTCAGATCTCAGCCTCCTGAGTTGTTAGGATTATAGGTGTGAGCTACCAGAGCCCAGCAGGATTTTTAATTTTACAAATAAAAATTTCTTTATAAAATTTACTTATCACAGTCAGGAACTTGTTTTCAGACAGTGTTTTCCACTGTACTGTGTCGCTGCCCCTGCTCCTCCAGCCTCAGAGCTCCTTGTCCTTGTGCCTTTTCTTTTAATGCACAAAACAGGGTTTTCATTTTCTTTTAAGGTGCCATGCTGTGCTGCTCTCTAACTTCTAGGCCTTTCTGCATGCTATTACTTTTGCCTAGAATTTGTTCTTTCTGTTCCTTCTTGCCCCTTCCAGTTATCTCAACACATGCTTATTTTTTATTCTATAGAAAAAGATGACTTGTTCATTAATATACCTGATGTCTGAAGTGAACATGTGCAGTATCTTTTTCCTTCTACCAAGTGAGCCACACCTCCAGTCCTAATTGATTAAACATTATTTCTTCTAGAATAATTTCCTCTTTATAAATGTCACTCCTGTATACTCCTTTTTCAATATGGTCCTCACATGAGGTCTGTTTTTCTCATTGTGTGGTAGAAACTGGGCCCATCGTATTTACTAATATGTAGCTCAGGACTGCCTAAAACATACTATGCATAAAGGAATGTTTCCTACTTTGAATTAAAATATCTAATCATAATATTGTAAGTGAACTGAGAGGTACAGAAAGTAGATGAGATAAGAAAAATAAAAGGACCTGGGATAGAATAAAATTTACTGTGTTTGTGGATTTACTTTGAGATTAATAGAGTAACTAAAAGAAATATTGTACATTATTAGGATACTTAAAATATAGGAGGAAACAACCTTATAATGTGATTTTCAGTGTCAAAATAATGTTATTGACAGCACATAGATTATTGTATTAGAGTGATTTCATACCTTCAAGAATATCTCCATTTCACCTTTCAGGTCTTCTCTTGGAAGATAACCCATCTATACGTGCCATATCATTAGGACATGGTCATATTTTAGTTGGCACAAAGAATGGTGAAATACTGGAAATGGATAAAAGTGGCCCAATAACACTTCTGGTACAGGTACTTTTAAAGGCTTATAGTCTTTCTTTCTCTTTGTATGTAATTTATTCTTCTAGTATATAAAAGGCAGAAGTTAACAGTGAAAAAAATGATACTAAATTAGTTAGGGAAACATTCCTAAAGCTAATATATACAGAAAGAAATAGTTATAGTTAAATGACTGTCAGTAAAAATAAACATGTCACATTTTATAAGCAAAACTGCCAATATTTTATATTTTTACTTTTTTTTTTGTCAGTTGTGGCTTGAACTCAGCCCGAGCACTGTCCCTGAGCTCTTTTGCCCAAGGCTGGTGCTCTTCCACTTTGAGCCATAGTGCCATTTTTGGTTTGGGTTTTTTTTTTCATTTTTTTTTGTTATTTTGCCAGTCCTGGGGCTTGCACTCAGGGCCTGGGCACTGTCCCTGAGCTTTTTTTGCTCAAGGCTAGCACTCTACCACTTGAACCACATTGCCACTCCCAGCTTTTTCTGTTTATGTGGTATTAAGGAACCAAACCAAAGGTTTCATGAATACTAGTTAAGCACTCTACCACTAAGCCACATTCCCAGTCCCACTTCTAGTTTTTGAGTGGTTTATTGGAAATAAGAGTCTGATGGACTTTCCTGCCCAGGCTGGCTTCAAACCATAATCCTCAGATCTCAGCCTCCTGAGTAGTTAGCATGAGCCACCAGCTCCTGGCTCTGCCAATATTTTAAATAAATTCTTACCAAAAATAGTCCAATAGCTAGAAAAATTAATTATAATTAATTTGACCCATTTAGCCCAGCACATTTATTTATATGCTTATTTGTTTATTTGTTTGTTTCTGGTGGCCCTGGCATTTGAGTTCAGAGCCTCATGCTTGCTTTACTGACACTCTGGTTTTTAGGCCTCATATTTATTTTATTAATTTTTTTTGTCGGTCATGGGGCTTGAACTCTAGGCCTGAGCTCTGTCCCTCAGCTCTCCAGTTCAAGGCTAGCACTCTACCACTTGAGCCACAGTGCCACTTCCATGTTTGTTGAACATTAGCTAATTATTTTTCTGTAAAATTCTCTAGTTAAGTCATCTTTAAGTTTTCAACTTACAAAAACAAAAGGAGTATATAACTCTATACTAAAACTTTGTTACTGAAAATATCAGTGAAAAGATGTTAATAATAAAATATAAAAATACAAAATTTTGGGAGATGGAAAAGTCAACTTAAACAGCAGGAATTTCATATGGAATAATTAACATTTCTATCAAGAATGATATATTAGGACTGGTCATGGTGGTACATGCCTGTATTACCAGCCACTCAGAAGATGGTGATAGGAGGATCATAATTCAAGGTTAGCCTTGGTAAAAAGCTAATGAGATCTTACCTCAAAAGACAAGGCTCATGCTTGTAATCTTAGTCACTCGTAAGGCTAAAATAGAATAGACAGAATGTGGTTCAAGATTGGCCCCAGTGAAAGCCTAAGACCATGTCTGAAAAATAAAGTGAGCCAAAAAGGCCTGAGGTGTGCTCAAGTGGTAGAGAAAGCACTTGGCTACCAAGTGTGAGGCCCTGAGTTTAAAAAAGTGTGGTTTGTTTGTATGTATGCCAGTCCTGGGGCTTTAACTTAGGCCTGGACACTGCTCCTGGGCTTTTGCGCTCAAGTCTAGTGCTCTATCACTTAAGCCACAGCTCTTTTAGCATTTGGATAATTAATTGGAGATAGGAGTCTGATAGACTCTCCTGCCTGGGCTGGCTTTGAACCACAATCCTCAGATCTCAGCCTCTTGAGTAGCTAGGATTATAGTCATGAGCCATGAGTACCTGGCTTTTAATATGGACATGTTTCTTTTTGATCCTCACTTCATTCTTGTTGGGACATCAAAGAGCACTGCACATGATATAATGTTTTATTATATGATTAGTACCCTAATATATTGAGGATGATATATATACAAATGCCAAGATATTACATATTGCTCATTAATTTTAGCTACATCATACGCCTTTGAAATAAAAAGTTTATGGAGGTATGATGGGAGTTTGTTTTTGTTTTTGCTTTGTTTTGTTTTGAGATGGACTTGCAGTGTAGCCCTAGGAGGGCCTTGAACTTCTGATCCTCCTACCTCAGCCTCCCAAGTGCTAGTATTATAGGCTTGTGCCACTATGCTCAGATGGTCATGATTTTTAATGTATTTGTAATATTTTTGAAAATATTAACAAAATAATTTTTTACAGATGAATCCAGAGTTCAAATTATTAAAAGCAGACTATTTTCTAATTGTGAAAAGAGTCTAGGACCCATAAATGACATTTATTAAGAGAAAAAATTTTAGACAAAATAACAGAATTTATTTGAACCTTAAAACATTCATGAATTGATCAGCACTGAAAGCAAGAAGAGGTTGAAGGATATATCTGCTGTAGCAGCATGGCAATTGCACATTTATAGGCTGAATTCGCAAGATAAAGATCTGTCTCATTGATTCGAGTTGTCAAACCCTTAATTAGAGATTTGCTGGCAATTCCTGATTGATAATTTTTTTTTTTGGAGGGGGGGTCCGGCCGTGGGGCCTGAACTCTGGGCCTGGGCGCTGTCCCTCAGCTCTTCAGCTCAAGGCTAGCGCTCTACCACTTGAGCCACAGCACCACTTCCGGCTTTTTTCTTTTTTCTTATGTGGTGCTGAGGAATCGAACCCAGGGCCTCAAGCATGCAAGGCAAGTGCTCTACCACTGAGCCACCTTCCCAGCCCCTTGATAAATTTTTATTAAAAGTTAATTGGTATCTTCTGACTTGTAAAGTTTTTAGTTTCATTGTACTGTTTACGTTGGCTTTGAATTGCTTACATAGGAACCTAAGTCACACAACTGTCCTGATGGACTCCCAGTTAATATCGTTTTTAATACATTCTTTAGTTATTTTTAATTAAACATCGGGTCTCATTTGTGTTAGTCATGTACTATAACTCCGAGTCCCATTCCATTGTTTTTTGATATAATGAGTTTAAGATGGTACTATATTTTTATCCCCTTGACTTCTGTCAGCAACCAAGACAAGGATACCAGCCTCATCATTATTGTCCAGCTTTGTGGGTTACACCATAGCCAATCCAGTAAAACAAACCAACAAAAAAGTATGTTGGCGATAAATGAGCAACAGTGATATTTTCAGATACAGCAAGTTTATACCTTGAATATCAAGAAAATGTATTTGAACTAATGATTAGAAGATTCTTGTGATTTGATTAAATGTAAAATCAACCTATAAATATATTTCTAGATGGGACACTTGTAACTGACACCTGTAATTCTAGCTACTTAGGAGGCTGAGATCTGAGGACAGAAGTTCAAAGCCAGCTCAGGCAGGAGAGTCCGTGAAACTCTTATCTCCAGTTAACTGCCCAAAAGCTGGAAGTCAAGCCGGGTGTCAGTGGCTCACGCCTGTAATCCTAGCTACTCAGGAGGCTGAGATCTGAGGATCCTGGTTCAAAGCCACCCCAAGCAGGAAAGACCATGAATGAGACTCTTAATCTCCAATAAGGCACTCAGAAAATGGGAAGTGGTACTGTGGCTCAAGTGGTAGAATGCTAGTCTTGAGCTGAAGAGCTGAGAGACAATGCCCAGGCCCAAAGTTCAGGCCCCACGACTGGCAAAAAAAAAAGAAAGAAAGAAATTCTAGCAGATTTCCTTAGATAAATGTTGCTTCATTTGTTGTATCACCTTGAAAGCATTTCCAGACATTAAATGTTTGGGTACTTTTTAAAAAAATCAGTTTCTCCAGTCTGTGCAGCTCCTCACTTTGTCATGAATATATTTTCAAGTTAAATTAATTTGAACTGTTTCCTCATAGGGACACATGGAAGGAGAGGTGTGGGGTTTGGCTACACACCCTTATCTACCCATCTGTGCTACTGTAAGTGATGATAAAACCTTAAGAATATGGGATCTCTCTCCTAGTCATTGTATGTTAGCTGTCCGGAAACTGAAAAAGGGTAAGAGGCCTTCAATTTAAGTTTTCTCAGTTTTTTTCACTGTCACAGGTAGAATAAATCAATTTTAAAAATATAAAAGACTTTAAATATTTTGAAATGTTTACTCAGTGTCTACTTTCTAATGGCGCTATGCAAAGAAAATTAATTAATTATGCCTAGTATTTACCTTATGATTTTGTCTAAACTAAACCAGTGTTCAGTGACATGCTGGAGAACAGAATGGGGGAAGTAAATGTCTGAGTTTTCTCTCCTTTGTGACTATGATTATGTATAATCCAGAACTAGAAATTTAGAAAGAAAATTTTAACTTTAAAAGGCTGCATGCTGGTAATGCTAGCACCTTAGGAGGATGAGAAGGGAGGATCCTGAGTTCAAGGCCAACCTGGGCTACATAGTAAGATCCTCTTTAAAAAAAAATAAAGCACTCGCTTCAGCAGCACATATACTAAAATTGGAATGATACAGAGAAGATTAGCATGGCCCCTGCGCAAGGATGACACACAAATTCGTGAAGCATTCCATATTTTTTTCAGAAAAAAAAATAAAGAAAAACTTTAAAAGAGGTAGCAGTAGTGAAGGAAGTGTATTTTAGGATAAACAGAACTGGTGCTGAAAGGATCTGTCACATCCATCCCAGGGGACCACTCAGAGGCAGACAGGCACAAGAGAAAGATTATTACAAGCTTTATTAGAGGAGCCATATTTCCCCCAGAGAGGGAGCACATGGCACCCTCTACTATTTCAGTAGCAGCAGGGTCTGAGGGTAGGAAGTGAGGTAGATGGGAGCTCAGGTATGTCTGGGTGGAGAGAGGGAGGGGCCAGCTGTATGGAAGGAACTCCAGGGAAGTGGGGCTCAGGTCTGGGTGGAGCTGGGAACCAAAGGTGAGCATAATACTAACAGGTGCATTTGTAGGAAGCATAGGCAACTGTTGGTGTATAGACACAAGGAGTTCAATGGAGCAAATTTACTATCTAGGACAGATAAAGATGTATATACAATTTCAGTTTCTTAGAAATACTTCTCAAGAATATTTACAACCCCCTTCAATTGGCATTATTTTTGCTGTATGCAGAAAACAAATCTTTATTTCTATAGTAGCACTACTTCTAATTAAGATAATGGATGTTAAATTTCACACGTGAATTAGAAGAATATAGCATAGCACTTTGGGAGTTTTTGTTGTAAATATGAGGTACTGAACAAATAAACTAGAATCATTATTTGGGGGCAGTAGTGATGTTTGATCTCAGAGCCTCCCACTTCCTAGACAGGACCTTTCAACTTGAGCCACACTCCCAGTCCTGGAAGCATTATTTATAAATGAAGCTAATGACCGAATTTCTGAATATCCACTATACCTTTGTTTGACTCTTCTGTACTCTGTTGTCTGGACAGATGCAGAGTTTCTTTATTTGCTTGATTCTTAATGCTTGGGGTGAACAAAGATGATCTTGAAGATGATCTGAAGAACTTTTTTTTATTGTGTCAGATCTTGCACTCAAAAGCCTCATGCTTCCTTGCTTGGTTCACTTGCTCATGGCGGAGGCTCTACCATTTGAGTCATACCTCTAGCCCAGCTTTTTGCTAGTTAATTGGAAATGGAATCTTGAAGACTTTTTTGTCTGGGCTGGCTCCAAACCTTCATCCTCTAGGTCTCAGCTTCCTCAATAGCTAGACTCACAAGGGTGAGTCACCAGTGCCCAACCTTTTATACTCATTAAACAACAATTTAATGACATTTTTCTCCTCTCAGTTTATCTCTTTCTCTCCCTCCTCTTCCCCTCTTTCTGTCTCACATAGGATTTGAACTTAGTACCTTGCATTGTTAAAGCAGATATACCCCAACAGCCATTCCCCCAGCCTGCTTTTACTGTAGTCATTTTTAGATAGGGTCTCTTGTTTTGCATGGAGAGCCTGGGACCATGATCTTCCTTCCTGTCACCAGAAGACCCAATCTGTCTATGGTGAAGAGGCTTACCAGAGAGTGAAAGCCTCAGTGGAACAGTGAGAGTGTTAACTGGGTAATGGACAGACTTGCCAGAGGGTGTAGTCCACTTCCTGGTAAATAGTTTAACCTAAGGCTAAGGTCACTGAACTGTGGACCTTAGCTATTTATACATAGAATCTTGCTGGAGTCTTCAGATTGTAACTGAATCATTACTGTGAAGGTGAAGGAACTTTCTGGAGGACCCGGGGCTGCCACTGTGAAGACAGCTAGCATATGTGTATGTAAAACAGCACAGCAGCAGTTTGGGCCTGGAATGTATTTCCAGTGCCCTCTATTGGCAAAGCTGGCAAAAGATAAAGTCTGTGAGGCCTGAAGAACAGTATATATGGAAGTAAAATTAATGTTAACATTAATAATAATGATATCAGTCCTGTAGTTTTGAAACTTGGATCTTCCTAGCTTAACCTAATAATTGCCTATTGTCAGATTCTTTTAATACCTTGAATACTTTTTTTATACCTAGAATCCTAGCTACTGAGGAGACTAAGATCTGAGAATCATGGTTTGAAGCTAAGCTGTGGGAAAGAAATCCTTAAGACTCTTTATCTCCAGTTAACTGGCAAAAAAACAGAACTAGAGACAAGACTCAAGTGATAGGACACCAGCCATGAGATCCATATAATATTTTATTAATATATAATAGTATATATTTAATATATAAAGTTATATGTTATATAATTACATATATAATTTGTATATAAAATTATTTTTGTTCTAGTCAGGGCCTGGGCATTATCCCTGAGCTTTTTTGTTCAAAACTAGCACCCTACCACTTGAGCCACAGCTCCACTTCTGGCTTTTTTGGTAGTTTAGTAGAGATAAGAATCTCATGGACTTTCCTGCCCGGACTGGCTTTGAACCATGATCCTCAGATCTCAGTCTCCTGTGTAACTAGGATTACAGACACCTAAGAGCCACTGGCACCCAGCTTTATAAAGCATTTTTATAATATGTTTAAAGCAGCTGGGCACCAGTGGCTCATGCCTGTAGTCTTAGCTACTCCGGAGGCTGAGATCTGAGGATCGTGGTTCAAAGCCAGCCCAGGCAGAAAAGGCTGTGAAACTTTTATCTCTAATAAACGACCAGAAAACCAGAAGTGGTGTTGTGGCTCAAGTGGTAGAGAGCTAGCTCTGAGTTGAAGAGCCCAGGGACAGCACCCAGGCCCAGAATTCAAGCCCCACAACCAAAAATAAAAATGTTTAAAGCATAAGCATTTTTTTTAAGTTTTTCACATCTCCTCTATGTCCCTACCCTTCTCTCAATATACTCACATTCCTCTCTAAATAGATTGTCTCTTAATCTCCATAATAACATTAATTTTTACATTTCTATTTTTCTCTTTTCATTTCCCTTCCCCTTTCTTCTTTTTCTCTCTCTCTCTACTTGCATCCTACCCAATCTATTTCCTACATTGAGATTAGGACATAGTTAACTCTCCCTGTGCCTCCCCACACCAATCTATTCCTATTTTTTACCCACATCTCTCCCTAACCCTAATAATTTCTGGTTTTCCAAATTCTTCTATGTGGTTCGAAGCCCATTAACATATAGTTGTTTGATGTTGAATAGATGTATCTGTTGAACTAGATTGTATCTGTAGACTATTGACTGTACAAATGCAAACTTTGGTTGATGGTTGCCTTAAGATAGTGTTCTAGTGCAAAACTGGTGCTATTTTCATCTCAAATGGGCAGAGTAAGCCGGAAAACACAAGAAAAATGGCAAATTCGGATATCTAAATTCCCAATCTTGATAATCAGGGGTCAGAACAGATAATGAATAATCCAGAGGAGAGTTCACAAATAGCTCTACAAACACTGCTGGCAAACATGATAAATGAGAAGTTTGACAACTTACAAAGGACTCTGTATGAGCGTGAAAGGGAGAGAGAGGAGGCATCCCAAAAGTTTATACAGGAATATCATAAGCGTGAGGAAGCTACTCAAAAACTGATACAGGATTTGCGTGAGCAACTTGAGAATACTCAAAGAGAAAGGAAGGAATGGCGTGAGCAGGCTGAGAACACTCAAAGAGAACTGC